CCTTCCTTCCTTCCTTCCTTCCTTCCTTCCTTCCTTCCTTCCTTCCTTCCTCCCTTCCTCCCTTCCTTCCTGACAAACAGCATCTTTCACACCCCATATGTAACCCAAGGCATCCAACTGGGGACTATCATGAATGGAATGCTGGCTTAGGTTGATCACAGAACAAAAGATCAGGAAGGGATCTCAGAGGTCCCCTAGTTCAACCCCTGCTGGGTACAGAATCTGCTGAAGCATTTCCAACCTCTCCTTGAAGACCTCCAGTGAAGGGGACACACCGCTTCCTGAGGCAGCCTATTCTGCTGGTGAACAACTCTTGCCACCAGGAAATGTCTCCCAGTATCTAATCTGAATCTACTCCCCAGCATCCATTTAAACTCTGGCTAGAGCTGCAAAGGACATTCATGGACAAAGACAGTTTATTTCTAAGCCTATGTCTGGGAACAACAGTACAGGGCTATTGTATCTGTGGCAGGCCTGTTTGGCTTCCTAGAAAAATCTAGTGGGTGAATAATGGACTAGAGAAGTCTTCTCCATCTAGATGTGTTGGCCCATCCAGATGTGTTGGCCTTCAGACCCCATCACTGGGAGATATAGTTGATCTAACTTAGTACCAAGGTGTGGTCTGGGTTTCTCTGTCCATGTAAGCTTCAGCTTGGTTGCTTCCTGTGAGATGATTTGTTGACCCATCATATGGATGATCTTTCTCCAACCCTTTCTCCTAAAGGTCAAGACCCAACGAAGAAGATGAGCTGCAAATGAAGGTCCTCCTGCCCTCAATCAAATCAGAGTACCTCAAAGACGAACGCTAAGGGGCGAAATCAGACCGCCTCGCTCCCCACCATCACCGCACGCTATTCCCCATCCCCAGGGCTAGACACTGTTCTTCTGGGACTTCTCAAACTCGGGCTGCTAACCAGAGCTCACCAAAAAAGAAACATCTGAAGGAAGACATGGGTTTGGCATGAAACTCACATCTGTGAACGAAGCTGCAGAAAGGCCAAACATGGCATAGAAACGCAATCTGTTTCATGCTGGTGGAGAAGACTTGGCTAGTGGGGCTGTCTGGAACTATGGTCCGGCATCTGCTAACGACAAAGGGGTATCCTTCTGCTGTCCCTTTTTCGATTCTTCCCATGTAAACGAGACTCAAACTATCCAGGTCTTCCGAGAGGACACCTGCAAAATGAGGCCCGTTGTCTGTATCATAAGACACACGAATGCCTTCTCCAGAAATTCCTGGCTGTGCACGCAGAAGACAGGCGGAGGTGCTGTGATACGCCTTCGTCACTGACACAACTTCTTTGCGGGGATCAATTTCGTACAGGTCCAAGGGCATAAAATGTGAACTTGTCGGCTGTCCCAGACGAGCGAATGTTGCTGCTCATGTTTACGTTGCTTCTATGACAAAGATAGTCACTTTTCTTTTCTTAGATCCCAGCCAGGGTTACAAAATGGCTGGGTCCACAGAATACACTCGGTTATGGGGTTACACAATCCAGTGAACCGTAAATGAACCCAATGGGCTGGTTTTGCCCACGGAGCTAAGCCCCACGTGCGCACAGACGGACACAGTTAGTTCAACTAGCTGAGCGGAGCAGCGGAGCTCGGTCGGTCTTCCCCTGACCTGGTCCAGCGTTTGTGTGAATTCAGCCAATCTGCATATTGGGTTGGCCTGAAGCAAGACAAGGGTTAGATCGACAAAGCACAATCGGTGACTGGAAACTCCATATGGACTTTCTGCGTAAACGTGAAAAAAAAAAAAGAACTTGAGATTTATGGCTTGGATGATTAGAGAGGATAGATTGTAGAAAGAAGAGAGTCAGGATGTAACTTTAGAGAAAGAGGTTAAAATATACAGTGGTACCTCTACTTACGAACGCCCCTACTTACGAATTTTTCAAGATACGACCAGCTCCGGCCCCCAAAATTTCCCTCTACTTACGAACTCCCCTCGACTTACGAACCGGATGCGTGGCCATTTTCCGCCCGTTCCACATGGTCTGCGGCCATTTTCCGCCTGTTCCACGTGGTCCGTGGCCATTTTCCCGCCCCTGACACATGGTCCGCGGCCATTTTTCCACCCTGCCGCGTGGTCTGCGGACGCCGGAACGGATTAACGGTAATTACATTGAACCTTATGGGAAAATTTACTTCGACTTGCGACCAACTCGACTTGCGATCAGAGTCACGGAACGGATTAAGGTCGTAAGTAGAGGTACCACTGTAATAACCTTATGGGAAAATTTACTTCGACTTGCGACCAACTCGACTTGCGATCAGAGTCACGGAACGGATTAAGGTCGTAAGTAGAGGTACCACTGTAATTGTACTCATAACTGCTGCGAAAAAGATCAGAAGTTACCTTTTTTCCTTTCTTTTCTATTTTTCTTTTCCTTTGTTTTTTCCCTTTCTTGTCCTTTTAGCTTTCTCTTTGAGTCCTTTCTTTTTCTTTTTTCTTCCTTACTTTATATCCTTTTTTTTATCCTTCTTTTTAAAAGTTTGAATAAAAATTATACATAAAAAAAAAAATCAGCAAAGCACAGCTGGGGAGTCGGCCAACAACCGCTGCTTCGAACGGGCACGGCGTTCGTGCTGCCTGCTTTTGAATGTTGCATATATTTAAAAAAAAGCAGCCTGTACTTTTTTTTCCCCTCCTTTTTTGCACTTCTTTGCTGCCACTGGGCACCAGCGTTTACAGTTTTCTCTGTGTGTGTATGTGTTTGTGCACAACGGCTGACAGAGGATGCCTTAATAAATTTATTAGTCCTCAACGGGCAGAGGACTCCAGAGGTTGTTCTTGCATCGTTTGGTGAAAAACGCGCCTCTCTGGTTCGTTGGAAGTGGGCCCTGATGTTGCTTGTCGGGTTTGCTGCAGCTATTTGAACATGCAAAGTCTTCCAAATTGGGTTTTAAAGTTTTAGGAAAGAGTCGGGGGGAAAATCTCAGCCACAGACTGAAAACAGGCAGGATTTTTCTCCTGCAAGCTGAGCAGATTTCTGTTGCTAAATGATAGCCCAGTGTTTGTCAACCTTGAGAATTTTAAGATGGGTGGACTTCAATTCCCAGAATTCCCCAGGCTAGCTGGGGAATTCTGGGAGATGAAGTCCACACAGCTTAAAGTGGCTGAGGTTGAGAAACACCACTCTAAGCAGAGGATCACACTCACACACACTCCTAGAGGGAGAAGCGAAGGGGCTGTGGGGCAGAAATTGATCTTGCTGACCTGGAACACGACAGCAGGATTCACACAACACGCCGAACCAGGTCCGCTGTGAAGCAGGATTGCATGTGCCCTGCCTGATAAGCTCAGTGAGTTTTCCCCTGAACCTCGCACCTTTGTGTGTGCACGTGTCAGTGTGTGTACATACCTTAACCGTCCTGCCCAGATTCTAGCTGGGGAATTCTGGGAGTTGAACCCCACTCATCTTAAAGTTCCCAAGGTTGAGAAAGCCTCTCTCCTAAATGTAAATGTAAAGCAAGTTTCTAGTCCTTATTGGGGCAGGGGGGAGCTTGATGTGGCTTCTATGTCACCAAATCTTTGGTCTCACTACCTTACTGAGTCCGGCACAACGTTTTTGGGGGTGCCAAGCGGGATACATCAGAGAACACATTCACACTTATGAACGTTACATATTCTCACCCTGATCCGCTCCTCCTGCCTTTGCTTCTGCTGATGTTAGTGGTTATTCCGGGGACAGCAGATCTAAAGAATTCCAAGTCAAAGGTTATTTTCAGATTTTTTTTCCATCCGTGCCCACGGACTGAACTTGGCTCTCATTGCACAAACAATGGAATTATATAACACCGAAGGGTGGCCTCTTCGTTGGGAGAAAGTTGATTTTAATCACGGTTCGCCTAAGCTTTCCAAGGTCTGGCCAAACTGTCACCAGGGGGTCCTTCGCACGGGAACGATGACCTTGACAATCTCATCGGGGACTTTCGGGAAGTAAAGCCATAGGTTTGGTGGGGGGATCAGCCCTGTCCCGCTTCTAAGAGTTGGATCCGTTGCAGTCGTTCTCGGCGATCTAATAGTTGGATCTCCTGATAATCGAACAGTTGGATCGATAGCAATCGCTACATTTTGCCATCCACATGGAACCCAGTGACTGAACCAGGTGTGAGTTTCTTAAGTTCAAAGTGATCGAGCTTTTAAAACAAAGCTTGCACAAAAGTGATCCACGTCAGCCCACATCCAAGAGCCTTTCTTCCTCAAAGATTCGGTTCTTTTCTTTCTTTTCTTTCAAAAAACTCTTGCTTTTCCAACGCCTCAAACAGAGAGGCTGGATTCACACAACTCAATAAACCCGGGTTATCCTTACAAAACCCAGTTACACTGCTGGAGTTCTCCTAACACATCCCACCCACCCAAGAAGCCCCTTTCTGACTTAATGGGAGGCTTGGTTCCCAGAACAAGCCAAAAGCTAGATTGTCTACGACGCCACAACCCACAAACTTCCCCACCCCATTTTAATCTAGATGAGTTTGTAGTGCAAACCCAGCCTAAAAGATATTTCCGGTCACTGGGAGTGGATGTCCACCCATCTTAAGGCCACCAAAGTTGAGAAACACTTCTTAGAGCCACTCTCCTAAATGTAATGCAAGATTCTAGTCCTCATTGGGGCAGGGGGAAGCTTGATGTGGCTTCTATGATGTCAGAGCCTTGGTCTCACTACCAAGTGAGCCCAGCACAAGATTTTTGGGGGTGCCAACCGGGAGATATCAGAAAACACATGTGCACTCATGAACATTACATGTTCTTACCCTGATCCACCACTCCAGACCTTTCTGTCACTGGTTCCCCTCCAGGCAAAGTTGAGGTGAAGGCACTAAATTAGGACTTCTTTGGTAGCCAAGGATGCTGGGACCTGTAGTTCCACAACTCCAGGAGGACCCCTTCCCACCTCCTGCGTCTCTGCATCTGAAAACACAGCAGAGCCAAGACAGGGATTGTAGCTTGATGGCAGCGGGATTAGAAAATACCATTTTCGACCTTCAGTTTGCACCCTGCCAGCCTACCTGCTTTCTTGTGCAGCTGGCTTGGAGCCCTGAATGCCAAGGATTTAGAAGAAAAAAGCCCTGATTTCTTAGGCTTGACCCCGATTGACCCTGCCGTTGCCATCTCACCTACGTCCCCAAGGCATAAACCCCATTTCCCCTTTCTTTCCTACCTCCCAACTGGGGCGATGCGTGTCTAAGGAAAGCAGCTAAGCCAGGTGAGTTCAGAAGGAGCTCATATCCAGCCGAAACAATCAGAAACCCCACGACGGGCAGCGGGTGGCTTGGCTCGGCTGGTCTCCTGGAGCTTAGCGGCCCTGCTCATTCCTAGAGGTGGAGCGAGGAGGAGGAATTTGGGTGGAATCGCAAAACACCCCGGGATGACCAAAGTGGAACACGCAGTGGGCAGTGGCTGAATCTGTTTGCCCACCAGCGGGGGAAACGGGGACGCTTCCCCCTTCGCTGGCTTGCATTTCACCCGCTCGAGCAGATGCAAGCCCCAGGAGCCCAGCTGGCATTGCGCAACCCTTTTGGCCCCCTCCGCCGAAGCGTCTCTTCGCTCTGTCTTTGCTAAGGAGGGCAAATCAGCCAAGACGGGCATCTCCCCCTCGGTCAGCGAGCTTTGCCTCGTGCAGAGTCCCTGGTATCCTTTCGCAGGAGCTCGCCGAGTCTGCGCCGCCCCGTGCCCAGGCCACCATGACGTTTGCTCAGCTCCTGGACCAAGCAGGGGGCATGGGGCGCTTCCAAGTGATCAACCTGGTGCTGTTGTGTCTTCCCATGCTCCTGATGGCGCCCCATAACCTGTTGCAGAATTTTACAGCCGCTGTCCCCGGCCACCGCTGCCGGGTGGCCTCGAACAACGCGTGTGCCGATGGAAACGCCACGGGAAACTCAGACTGCACGGCACTCCTCAGGGTGTTCATCCCACAGGACAGGGACTGGGTGCCCCAGAAGTGCTGGCGTTTTGTCACCCCCCAATGGCAGTTGCTGGAGTTTAATTCAACAGGACCGGTGCCAACAGAAGCAGATCAGGAGCCGTGCCTGGACGGGTGGACCTACGAAGGGCAGGTCTTTACGTCCACCATAGTAACCGAGGTAAGAAGGCGACACGTTGACCGGCCCAGTTGGAGATTGCTAGGTTCGTGCTTGATGGGGCTGGACTACAACTCCCATCTCTCCCAGGTGGGGGGGCTGAGCACCACAGCCCAACACTGCTGGAGAGGGGGCAGCAGGTTTGGCGAAACCTGGGGGGAATGATGGAATTGTAGTTCCACACATCTGAAGATGACTAGATCAGAGGGGTATCTGCCAGAGATGGGGAGGACCCCCCCCATGAAGACCTCAGCTTGGGAGAGGATTGCTGAGAAATATGGGAACTGTAGTCCCACTCACCTGGACGCCACCAGCTTGAGGGAAACCTTGGGCTAGCACAAAACTTTCCAGGCTGTTCTGGTTAGGAAAAGCAACATTTCTGCATTCAAGGGCAAGTCGGACAGTTGAGAAATCTGGCTCCCTCCCCTAAAAGGGAAAGGCCTACACAAAAGGAACGTGGTTTAAACTACCACCACCATTTCTAGCTGAAAAGAATTATGTAGGGTGACGAGGTGATGAAAAAAAAGTATTTCTCTGCCTTGATTAATCCTTAAAAAGACGAAAGCCATCAGGGGTACAACCAGCTCCAGGTTTGGAGTGACCACCCTCCGCTGTCACAGTCAACAGCCTCCTTTGTGGAGGGCGTCGTGGAAAAGGGAGCGTTTTTTGGAAATTGTAGAAATGCTGGGAATTGAACCCAGCACCTCTGCAACCCCAGGAGATGTTGGACCGCTCCCCATGGGATTTGGGAATCAGGGCTGTCATTTTCCCCCGTGCCTCTCCCCAGGTCAATGTCTTCCCTTAGAAGTTGAATGTAGAATCATCGAATCGTCTGGTTGGAAGGGGTCCCAAAGATCATCAAGCCAAACCCTCTGCAATGGGCAGGAAAACATTTAACCCATCCATGAGAGATGGCCTCTTTTAACTCCTACAGAGGTGGAGAGCCCATCACCTTTGCAGAACAAAATCTAGGCCAGTGTGTCTCAACCTTGGCAACTTGATGACGTGTGGACTTCAACTCCC